AAAATGCATTAATTAATTTTCAATGCATTTCCATGGGAAATTTGGATTCAACCTGCAAACTTTTCAACTAGCTCTGGGCATCTAATAGATAATGTATTTCCAAAGGGTGTTGCAGCAAGGAAACTAACTGTGCCTCGTGACTTCTAACTGGATTACAGTACCTGTTTCCTGATTTCAGCTACTATAGGTTGTATTCAGTTTTTTTGGCTCTACAGGAACATTGTTCATGGCTTTGTGTGGCGTAACCTGTTGTGCCTTGCATGCTATAAATGTTCAATTATGTCAGAAAATGGAGATTTGGTCTTATGCTGAGCATGTGCTACTGCTGGTGAATGGGATCAGGTTAAGCTTTGTGTTGCTGTTCTTTTGCATAACCTAAAGTAAATAAGGAAAACCAGCTGTTGAACAGTTTAATTTCACTATTTATCCTCCACACAACTAAAAGGGACCTCTCAATGCAGTGCCAAATCAGACAAACCATTTCTAACTTACTATTGGGTTGAGCTGTAGCTGAGCAGAGTTGCACAACAATCTCATCTGTCATTGAGACATTTCTATAAGCATGGGGAGGAGGTGGATGAAAGGAAATGTAAAATATAGGTAGAGTGGTATAGGTCTTATCACTGGCTGATAATGGTCTATATTAATGCCACTGTTGACTGCTGTTCACTTTACATGGTTCAGATATTATTCTGTTATAGTTTATTAAATATTTTATTACACTATTTGGTTCAGAATATATTTTCCCTGTGTTCCTCCTCTAAAAATTAAGTGTGTCTTAATGTCCGGTGCGTCTTATGGAGCAAAAAATACGATATATAAAAACAAATTTATACAAGCTTATGCTTAAGACAATGCACTGCAAAAACTATAAACTAATTTCATGGGCTCAATCATGTTATGAATGCTGTAAGTCACTTAAAAATTGGATCTACACACCCTGTGACTTGGAAAATCAGGAAAAAGGTAGGTCCCTTCCTTTCTGAGATCATAACTGTTCCCTTTCAAGAGCAGAAGCACTATGGCTACCTAAAGAAGTGTCTGTCCCAGTGCTAACTGGAGACAGGGACTTCTTGGTGATGATGTGCCAATTAATGTTTATTATTTTTCTATGTCACTCAGTATGTGTTACAGAATACTATTGCCCCAACAAGCTTACTTGGTACCAATTTTCTAAAATTATTTTTTAAATACAGAACAAAATATAACACAAGGAGACAGAAAAACTTTAAAACATAGAGAAACTGCATTCCCCCACTGGGACCATCTGAGATGCAATCGATTTTCTTTCTTTCTCCATTCCCCTTCTAAAAGTGCACTTATGAAGCCATACACCCCTTTCGGTTTTAAACACAAATTCAATAAAATCTCTCGATATATCAATAAAAATATTCTTATGTAAACATCCCTTCTTAATTTTCATATTATACATTAATTTATCCTTAACAGCTATATTCCAAACTTTATACTGTTCCTCCAATTGAAAATCATGCTTAACTTTCCAATTTTTTGCTACTATTAATTCTGCCACTGTTAATAAATTTGAAATTAGTTCTTTTTTCGCTCAACTCCATTGATCATTATCAAGTATTGATAAAATTAGCATCTTAGGGCAAATCTATGCATTTAACTTTAATATTTCATTTACTTCCTTAAAGACCAACCTCCAAATTTTCAATATACAGTGGTGCCCCGCTTGATGACGATAATCTGTTCCGTTAAAATTGCTGTTAAGCGATTATTGTCATCAAGTGAAAGAAAAAACCCATTGAAATGCATTGAAAACCGGTTCAATGCATTCCAATGGGCGAAATACCTCATCGTCCAGCGAAGATCCTTCATAGGGGAAGCCATTTTTGGTTGCTGTCTTCCAGAAATAGGTCCGGAAAACAGCGGGCGGCCATTTTGAAACTCAATGATCAGCTGTTTTGATTGTCATAAAGCAAAGAATCGGTTCCCAAAGCAGGGAACCAATCGTCGTAAAGCGGGTTTTCCCCATTCAATTAGCGCTTTGCGATCGCAATAGCGATCACAAAAACCTCATCGTGAAGCGATTTTATCGTGAAGCGGGATAATCGTCAAGCGGGGTACCACTGTATTTTTAACATTGTGAACACACATGGAAATCAGTACCTACTTCCCGCCCCTCTCTCCAACATTAATTAGAACATCTGTATTATTTTATTTCACCGGAGTTAAATACCATCTCCATATTAATTTATAAAAAAATTCCTTTATTCTTAAAGACATACTTTAATATTCTTTTATCCCATATATTTTTCCATACCTTAGTACTTATTTCCTCTTCCAAATCAAACTCTTATAAGGCTTTAAGATTTTTTTCCCTTTGCGTCTATTAAAAGCATACAAATTTTACTCATTATCCCTTTCATTATTATATTATTTTTTCTGTCCTGTATTACCATTTCTTCAAATATTGCAAAATCCCTACATTTACCATGTCTTTTTACCCATTTTTCAGTCTACTGTTCTGAAGCCAAGATTTTTTTTCTGATCCTAATACTACTATTATTTGCTCTTCTTTTCCAACCAATCTTTTAATCTAATAACTTGCTTCTTCCTTAATAGATTTTCCAATCTACCTTTCAAATTTCCCGGAAATTTCTCAAACTCTACTACTAGATCTAATGAAGAAATTATTGGGGTAAATATTTTTCTATATGTTTTCAAAAATTTTAACATGTTTTTACAGAAAGAGTTATCAACTTTTTTTAACAATACATTTATTGTTTTGTTTAAAAAGAATATTCCCAAGATATCAACCAGCTTCCTGCTATTCCAACTTTGTCAATATCGCATTAGGCGATAACTCATTTGATTAGCTGTATAATATAACCTTTTGGGAATGTGGTGGCACTGCGGGTTAAACCGCAAAGCCTCCGGGCTGTAAGATCGTAAGATCAGCAGTTCGAATCCACACGACGGAGGGAGCTCCCGTCGCTTGTCCCAGCTCCCGCCAACCTAGCAATTCAAAGGCATGTAAAAATGTGAGTAGATTAATAGTTTCCATCACGGTGGGAAGGTAACAGAGTTCCATGTCTAGTCGCATGGGCACAATCAGATTTAATATAGGAAGTATTATCAAACTCTTAAATTTTGCTTAAGGTTTAGAACAATCATCTATCAACATGGTTACTATACATTTCCTAACTTGGTAGATTGCTTTGGAAAATATACACACTTTGCTAATACTGATACTCTGAAAATCATTTTCTTCAAGGCAAAAGCAGTTGTATACAGCAGACTTTGTCTTACCAAATTATCAAGCATTCGCATAAGAGCTTCAAATTCCTGCTCTCCAGTCTGCCATTTTGGATAAGATGCTGTTCCCTCCCCTGCTTGAGACTCAGGACAACGAGACTTCACTTTATATTTTTCAGGGTCCAACAGCACTAAATTGTCTGGACCCCCTGCGCTGGCCAAAGTACGTACCTTAAAACAAGCAAAAAAATTTCTGTAAGAATAAAAAAAGCAATACAATGACTATCCAGTACTTATTTTAATTTAGCTTCTTTATAATCTCTCTAAAACAAATTTTTCTTTCTAGTTAAATGTACTCATCCAATAAAATTATACTTTAACATTTCCTTCCAATGGTGAACAAAATAAAAAAAATCTACATACATATTTTCAGCAAGTCACTTAGAGTAGGACCCCCTTATCCACGGTCTGAAAATATTTGTGGTGAATCACTCCTGTCATGTTCCGGTCTGACAGTCAAAAGGTTTCACAAAACAATCCACAAACAATAACATCCAAAACCAACAGTTGCTTCCTGCACTGATTTAGCACAGGAGCCAAACCTATATGGGGCTGTGGTGATCAGTCATCGCTTACAGCTGCACTTCCTGGCTGATTCCCTTCAATACTTACAGCCTGGCCTCAGCCAAGCCCTCAACTGAACCACCACAATATTAAAAGGAAAATCCCAATATATTTTTAAGGATGAAGTTACCAGAACTGGCTACTAGAGGGAGCCAAAGACCATGCTATGCATAGTATTGGCTGTTAATGTTCTGCTTTTTTCAACATCTGCATGCAGGCTTGGAACCCATCCGGGGGTCCTACTATACTATACCATCTTGTACTGACATCATCAGACTAATAGCACTGATTTAGTTATATTACACTGACAACCAAAAACTGTGAACAACTGGCATGCTTACTTGGATCTCACAAGCAACCACCAAATTGTGTATATAGTAGAAAGCCTCTTCCACACTTTCTCCAACTGCTACCAAACCATGATTTCTGAGTATGAGAACCTTGTGGAAAAGAAACAGGCAGAGAGATGTCACAATTAAGAGAAATTCCATAACCAAATGTTCCGCTTGACTTTTGTGACCTGGATTATTTTACTACTCACTTTGCTTTTGGGGCCCAGATTCTTCTGAATTAATACTTTCTCTTCATCGTCCACAAGAATACCATGGTAATCATGATATGTTATCTCACCAAGGGACAACGCCTCAGGTGAAATCGGCAAGACACCACTTTTCATTGCAGACACCTGACAATATTACAAGGTTTATAAACATGACTATAAGCAGAAACTCAAATTCTCTTCCATACAATGTACAGTCATGTGAAAAAGAAAGCACACCCTCTTCGAGGGAACACATCGAAGGCACAAAAACCACTTCAAATCCTCTTCATAAGACAGCATCTGCACCTTTGTCATGCTGATTTACGGTCTCATTCCTTTCACTCTAAACATAGGAGCTTTCAACCTAAAATCAATGACAGGAGCACCCATTCTGGGGTTGCCAGGGCTTGTATCACTTTATCAGAGATACGGTAAAATTTGTCATAGAAAGTATAGTGCAATTTTAGTTGAGAAAACTTGGCCTATTTATTATCACTGATGTCACTGCAACTCACTGGAAACAACACTAAAAAAGAAAAAGAGCATTAAGGCCAAGACCCAGAATTTGATGGTCTAGTCAACTTGACTAAAGCATCTGAATAATATGCAAGAGGAATCAAAGTCTGTGTAAGGAGACTGGGAAAAAGTTTCTTTTGGATCAGCATTTCCTTATTTTCCACACAGAGATGATTCATTGTTCTCTGAATTGAGATGAAACTTCTGGGATGCCAAGACTATAAATATAAGACAGAAGATTTAAGACCAATTAGAACATATAGTTTTTTTTCCTTCCCTCCATATCTCTCCCAAGGAAGGATGAGAAAAAGCAGTTCTAATCCTTTTATGTCCCAAAAAACGCTGTTGAAATGTGCTAATTTAGTTCTAATAAAGATGACTTCTCACTCTTTTCTGCAGGAAAAAGGTGTCATCCTCTTAAGCAGGACCTGAAAAAGAAGCACGGCCTGGGCCTGCCATATCCTCTACATCTCTGAGGAGTGAAAGACTGAAATATGAAGTGGATCCTCCAGTACCTACCCCTGGAGTAGATATCAGAGAAAACACATGCCTCTTTGCAGAGGAGCTTATTTTTTTAAATCAGGTGTCCCCAACTCCCAGTCCGCAGCTTGGTGCCGGTCCGTGGCCTGGGCTGGACCAGTTCGCGGACAGGCCACCGCCCCCGCATGCACACGAGTATGCCCCTTCGTACATGTGCGTGAGTGCACCCTGAGCGCCCCTGCCCTTTGCGCATGTGCATGAGTGTGTGTGAACGCCCCTGCCACTTCACCCATGCATGCGAGTGTGCCCAGCCTTCCCCAACTGGTCCATGGTGTTAAAAAGGTTGGGAACCATTGCTTTAAATCAGAGGTCATCAACCCCTGGTCCGTGACCTGGTGCCAGTCTGTGGCCTGAGCCGGACCGGGCCACGGAGGAAGATCTCCCGCCCGCACTCCCCTCCCCACAACTGCTTTGTGCACGCACACACATGCCAGCACCGGTGTGAGCACTCCCCCCTTCATGCATGCGCCCAAGTGCCCATACAAAGGGGTGGACATGCAGGCGTTCCTGTGCCAGTGCGAAGGGGTGAGGGAGCGCTCACGCTGGCACTGGTGAGTGCACACACGCTCCCCCACCACTTTGCGCATGCACCCAAGAGTGCATGCACACCTGCACAAGGGGTACCCCGCCTTCCTCAGAAGCTCAGCCGGTCCGCGGTCCAAAAAGGGTTGGGAACTGCTGCTTTAAATCTTTCTTTCAGCTCTGGGGACAGACTGGTCCCAGTCAGGGGCCATTCATTTCAGGATCATAATCCCTGGGTTGAGGCAAATGGCCACTGAGAAATGCTTCAGGGAAAGTAGCACTGACAGAGACTTAGGCAGCTGTTTTTGGGGGGTGTCCAGTAACAGACTGGACAGCAAAAGTCCACTGTAATTAGCTACAAAGGAAAGTGATGTGCCTTGAGAGAACAATCCAGCTCTCCTTTGTCACAGCCAGCCAGCATACTAGCAAGGAACAACTGAAGAGGGAACATTTGTCCATTCTGCTCTCTTGCTGATTGTCTTTCTTTTCTTTTTAAAAAGATGCTGATACCTCTCAAGACTAGAATACTGATTGAATTTTACTGCAGTTATGAATGCAGGAAATCATCTGGGACATGAGAGGAAAAGTTCCTCCTCCTCCTCCAGAAATGAGATTTAGTTATACTGTATTACACTGACAACCAAAAACTGTGAACAACTGGCATGCTTACTTGGATCTTAATGGCTCTTTCTCCACTTTTATTGTCCACACCTGAGGGCAGTGGTGTAGGAGTCACATGCAGAAACATGCCTACTTTAAGACATCATTACAAAAAGTAACTACTGGGGAGAATTAATCTCTCCTTTTTATTTAACAACACAGCTGTCCAACAGAATCTTACTAAGATTTGGTAGGGGACAAGAACGCACATCCTTTTCTGGAAGGAGAAAAAAAGTATCACAGTTTTTTTGTTTTGTTTTGTTTTGGCTACTGCTACTGCTTCATGTTTTTACAGGAAATTACCTGCCATTTCACAGCTAGAATAAGAAGGAATTTCTCACCGCTGCCCCTGCTGGTGTGTGAATATGAACAATGCATTTGATGTCAGGTCTAGCTGCATAAATGGCAGAGTGCAAGGTGAAGCCAGCTTGGTTGACTCCCAAATTAGTGCTTCCACGATCAACCACATCCCCTTGAATATTTATTTTAACCTGATAATATAAAAATAGTGTTAATCCTCAAAACTATACAAACTGTTCTGTCACAGAATGTCATTTCAAAAACACATGAATTAAAACAAATATGAAATGCACGTAAGAACAAAACCCTGAAATAAAAGAATCACATAAGGTGCATCCAAAGGAGGCTTTAATTGGTTCATTCATGTACAGAAGATTCAGACATTTTTAATTTGCAGTCCTTCTGTGTTTTGCCTTGGTTTCTGCATCTTTCTTCTTACCAGAGAAAACCTGCTAGGAGTGGTGGGGGTGGGCCTATAGCGGCACAATGCCTTTTAACTGTGAGGAGTAAAAGCTTTCTTCCTGGAAACACCAAGGGGTAGCATTTTACATAGTGACTGACCATTTCTCCCCCAATCCAGCAAACACTCCCGCATTTCCAGCATAGATCCTGTTCAAGGAAAAGGACCTATGTCTTTTTTCTTTCAAGGGAGATCTTAAAGGGGAAAGAAGGAATGGCACTGTTCCCTCCCAAGCCTGCAAAAGCTCACTACATAGAAGAGAAACCAATGGCCCTTCAATGTGCCAATCCTCCGTGGGGGAAAAAATCAGACGTGGCTTACTTACCTTCCCACTGGGATTCTGCCACACAGTTTGGCTCCCAGATACCATATTTTTGCAGGAAGTACAGGAGTTACTCCACTTTCATGTGGAGTTAATTTACCTTACTCCTTTAAGGTGTGAGCACAAGTACTTAACTATACAAACTGCATCTCTGGTATAATCCTTTATCATTGTATAGGTTTTATTACTGTGGGAAATGGGATCATAAGCATGCTCAGCTTATATATTTAACCACATCTGAAGTATGAAAATTCCTGTTTTTCCATTATCTAAGAAAATTACATCATGCTGATGTTGTAGAAAAAAGTTTGTTAGGTTCATTTTTCCTAGCCTTAGCATTTATAGATGATCAGAGACTTCATAATAGATAATATACTCCTCCAAATTACTTGCATCTTGATGTTATTTCTCATAGTTTTTCTATCACAATAATGAAAAATTGGAATTGGAAATATGTTTTGAAACTCTGACTGGGACAATCTTTAACACTATTTGTACAATTCAACATAGAAAAGATTTCTTGATTTCTAAGTACTTATCAGTTCTGCTCCATAACTGTTTGAAAGCTTTTGAGTTACACTGATATCTTAGCCAAAACAGGAAAAAAAGCAGACTTCAAATAGTCTTCCATACATTCATACATGTGGGCTCTGCATCTGTATAAATCATCCTGAAATTGTACAGCATTTTAAAAAGAGAGACCTGGCACTCATACCTCCCATTAAACTAAAGGTTTAAGCAAGCACTTTCTCAGTCCAGTTTTGGAATTCTGTAAGAACTATGAAGAAGCAGGATAAGTTAACAACTCCAAAAATACTGGTCATAGGTAAGGACCTGCCTTTCTTCAAATGTTCATGCAGCCACACATAAGAAACAACCTAGCTGAGGATAGCGACGTGCAGTGAGATTGAAAGTTTTTGCAGCAGTCCACCTCCCCGCAACCAAACTGAACCACTCACAGTTCTGACAGAAACAGCATACTGCTTGAACGTAGCTGACAGGGTAGATAATATATCTGTTTTGCAGAAGTTTAGTCATAAATCAGGTATCTGTCCTTGATGTCACTTTGTCCTTGCAAATCAAATGGATTTGGTTCAATGCTCTGCCTTCATTTACCTCAATTGCTGAGGTAGTGGGTACTACCATGGTATTTTTCAGTATCAACAGATGCAAATAGCAGGTAGCCACAGGAGCACTAGACAAGATCTGATAAGGGGAAAACTTGACTAAGATTTAGGAAAGGAAACTGGATGGATGAAGTTATTTAAGTGCTTTAAAAAGTGACGGGGCCAGGACAGGGTAATTATTAGAAGACAAGTAATCATCCATTTTGATACACAAAAAAGCCATAATATGCTTCTTAGTGATGCACCTATCTGCAATCTTGTCGTGGACCTGTCAATTTACCTCAGAATCCTCAAAATTAAAGGGAATTGAGAGGGGGAAACATAAAGCATTTTCTATCCACCAAATGATTACTGTATCAAGGAGTGAGGGAGGAAACATCTAGAAACACAAGAAGTTCTTGCTGGTGCTGGGCCCAAAATGATCTACCTCAGAAAAACCTTATTGTTAAAAAGTTGGTGTTCAGTACTCCATGAATGTGTGCTCCATTCATGTCCCACTATTTGGTTCTGATGGAAAGAATCCACCCAAATAGTCTCTGGTCGAGTACTGTGGATGGTTTGTAAGATCCAGAAACCCAATGAAGTATATCACTCCTCCACAAAGTATATCACAGTATTCTTCCACAAATGACAATGGAACTAAGCGAGGGAATGGTGGTTGGCTACCACTGCTAAGGAATTGGCATTGAGTTATCTGCTGATCTAGAAACAGCATTGTAATTAATTTGCTGTTCTCCTTAGGCCAGATCTGTTTGAATGTGCAGACTAATGAAGGTGAGACCAAGAATTTGTTCTAGCAGTTTTGAGTGGCTTTCTCAGACAGAAGCAAGCAGAGATTGCAGAAGTCCTATGCAGAGAGGTACATAAAGCAAATCAAGAGTCCTGCTGCAACAATCTTACAACCAAGATGATTTTGGATTATGTGTGGTAGTTGGTGAAGCAAAAGATGGGCCGCAACAATCAGGAAAATTTGTGTTCATATGATTTTGTGGGAAAGATATATAATCGTATACAACACCCAATGCAGCCCAAATGAACTTAATACATGACGAGCCAGAACGTTTTGACTTGGTGTTCCGCATACAGTGGGGTCTTGACTTGAGAACTTAATCCGTATTGGAAGGCGGTTCTCAAGTCAAAAAGTTCTCAGGTCAAATCTGCATTTCCCATAGGAATGCACTGAAAACCATTTGATCCGTATCTGCTCTTTTCCGTCCATAGAAACTAAGGGGAAGCTGCTATTCCGCCTTCGACCACTAGAGGGGGATATTTTGTTTCTTTTTTCCTTAGGTCAAGAAAGGTTCAGGGAAGGCAGGGAAAATACAGTCCAGGCAAGTACAGTACCAGGCAGTCTGAAGACTGTCTCCCAATCCCCTCTCTAAACGCTGGGAGGAGTGAGGAAGCAGACAGGCACCCTTTTCACTGGCCAACAGTTAACTGAAAGTTCAAATTTTGCACTTTCCCTGCCTCCCGCATGGCTTTTTTTCAGTTCTTAACTCAAATCTAAGTATGTAAGTCAAGTCAATATTTTCCTAAGAAAGTGGTTCTTAAGTCAAAATGTTCTTAACTCGAGCCATTCTTAAGTCAAGACCCCACTGTACCAGATTTCTTCTTGGAGTAGGAAGGCTTGTTTACTGAGCTCTGTGGCAAGATGTAAGAAAGCACTGAAGGAAGGAAAGGCCAGCGTGAATGGTACTATGGACAGGACCAACACCACCACTATTTTAAAAAAAGATTTCCTATTTTGGCAACCCAGATTCTTTCGTATGTATTGTATTCTGGAATACAGATACTGTATTTAGAAAGTGACAGTATCTGGTCACCTAAATTATAAAAAGCATAGTTTTAAAAGCCCTGAAACATTTCCCTCCCATACTATCCAACTTCCTATCCTCTGGATCCATAGGAATATAGCACTGTTTCTTTCTCTTTTGCCAAGGAGCATATCCAATTGCCAGAGTATTAGAGATAGCAATATTAAACTTCAAGTCTTCTGTTTAGCATGTCACACCTTTTTCCAGAGCCTCTGAAAGGGGATTTACTGATCGTGGTTTTGCCCAGGATTCTTTAGTTACCTATATCAAGGATCCCAGGCACAGAGATGGCTACTGTTGTGCCATGTGGGCTGAGTGAAATTATACAGTATTCTGAATCTACAAGCAGAGGAGGTTTGGAGACCCATCATAATGAGACTTTGCACCATTTGGATGATACTTCTAGGGAAAAGTGGTGGTCTTTGCCAAACTACAGTGTGGGATTTTCAGTGACATTGTTAGAGGATAACTCAAACAAGTATCTGCATGATTTGTTTCTGAGTCATTTGCATCTAATAAAATGGAAAATGGATAAAATAGAAGTTTCTGTAAGAATATTAAAATGCAGTCTCAATTGTGGTATTTAAAGAGGCAAATAAATACTGATGGGAATAAAAGCATTAATGAGATTTTGGTAACACAGGATTAATGAAAAACAAATAGTGGGGATCACAGAGCAAGTATTTGTGACTGGCATCAATGAAATGATGGATACTGGATTAAGAGCACTGTTTTATAAACAGAGAATGAATTATTTCTTTAAATAAATGTTTATTCTGTCTCCCCATCCTCCCTACAAAAATTTCTGTGTTCCTTTCCATTTTTAAGAACCTGGTAGAAAAACTGGCCAACAAACCTAAGCATGTAAATCTAAATCCAACTGTAAACATTTGTCATACTCTCACTACAAGCAGTGAGCTTTGAAGAACTGCATGACAGACATTAAAATCTAGTAAGTGGGAAATGAAAGTGCCAGAGTGTTTCTTTCCCTCCCATATGTCTAAGTGTCCCTTAGTGGAAAGGGATGAGAGCTAAGATATTACAGAGGGCAGAGTAGAATAGGAAAGCTGTGGGGAGTTGGGTATGATAAGAGGTCTTGGATGAAGAAGTGCAAAGGCCCGGTGCCCTTCTTTGTGCCCATGCATTACTTTTTTTTTTACTTATATGTCATAATTAACAACCACATATAACTTATAAATAAAATATATTTACCCTTACCATAATGGGGTATAATGAAAAATGCTTATCAAGCAGACCTTCAAAGAAATGAATAGATCACCATGTATATATTTATCTACAACATCATATTTCTACCTAAGGGCGTAATCTAATCCACAGTTAGTTGCAAAAGAATTTTGTTGTAACTAACATGTTTTGAATAGCCCTTCTTCAACTTAATCACAAACAAATACAGTTAGATTACACTTCTGATTAATTTTCAAAAGAATCTTTCACTTACCAGACTTGATGCAGTAACCTCACTATACAGAAGCCCAAAAGGAACAATGAGAAAATGCTCCTGCTCTGAACTTACTCTGACCTACAAATAAGAGGATTAAAAAATGAATATGAACAGACAGATATTTTAGAATATTGTTTTTCAGCTTTGAAAAGTAAGGCAGAAATGCAATTATGCTCAACACACTGAAATGTTTCAAGTAATATAACCCAGTTTATATTGGAAAAATTATAGTATTAAAAGTCTATCAACCTAAAAATGAATAAAGTGCTGAAATGCAACTGATGTTTTCAGTATTATTAATTCTATGTAGAATCACTCACCAAAGCTCTTTTGATTTGAGCTGTTGCTGATATGAACTGGTTTGACAAGTTACTGTTCACTTAGTATGTGCTGCAAAATTCTGATTAGAAGTGGAGGTGGCACATAGAACTTTACACTGGATCAACACAAGCATCTACCACAGGGGTCTCAAACATGCGGCCCGGGGGCCATTTGAGGCCCGCCAGATGATAGTTTGTGCCCCCCGCCTTGCCTCCCCCCCCCGAAGCACCCACGTGTCCTCTGCTGTCAAGAGTCACTCTCGGCCCGTCCTTGAAGAGCACCTCCAAGACGGCAATAGCAACTGCCGCCGCCACCTCTACCTCCAAGACGGCAATAGCAACTGCCGCCACCTCTTCTTCCAGAGAAGTGGCTCTCTTTCTCTCTTGGCACCCCCAGAACCAGCCCGGCCAGCGGCCGCCTCAGTGTCCAGCGGTGCTTCCTCCTCCTCTTCGTCCTGCTACAGCTACCTCGGCTCTGAAGGCTGCCTGGGCTCATCTCGCAAAGTTTGCTCCTCTGTCGTGGTGGGGGTAGCTGCTGCTGCTGAGTGCGCCTTTTTTTTAGGGGGGCCCTCAGAGGAAGGTTGTCAGACCTCCGTGTTTGTGTGTGTTTTGTCTGCATGCGCATGCACACACCTGTGGGGGCCCCCGCCCTGTTCTGTTTAATTTCGCGGGTACCAGTGGGGGCTTTTTTCCTTTGGCCAGGCGAATTCTGTGCGGGTTTTTTAAAATTTTATGTCATGCCCGCCTCTCCCCGGCTAAGCGGTTGCCGGCGCTCCTTCCCTTCTCCGCTTCTTCGTCCTGCTGTTGGTGCTGGTGGTGGTAGTGAAGAAGGAGCCGAGGGGGTCGTGGCCAGTGACGAGGGCTTGTGTGTCCTTCCTCCTCCTCAGAGCCCCAGCTGGGCTAAGGAAACTCCCGCACGGCTCCCTTGGACTCTTGCTCTGCTTGGCAGAAAATCTGATGCGGCCCAGTCTCACTCAGACTGTGCCTCCGGCGGCCCCCAGGTAAAATGAGTTTGAGACCCCTGATCTACCATGAACAGAGCCCCAACAAGTATTCATCAGTACCTTCAAATATGAGAATACACAGCCAATGTTCTGCCTTTTAAAAACTAATCATTATTATATACTCCCAAAACACAAACAGCAATATATTGTCATCATGTATGATAATTCATAGTGTGGAACTGATATTTTCAAACTGTCAGGCATTTATGCAGGCAAAACTTTTGTTTGTATTCTGGAGAACAAAAAATAGGCATAAAAACTTTCTAGTGTGTTTTTGTACATTCCAGAAGCACTCGCTGGTTTATACTTACTCAGCAGTGTCAGATCTAATCAGCATAACTTGTTTATACACAGTTTCCCTTTGCACAGGAAAGAACTGTAGGTTCATTCATGAATGCTGCTGACCCAGTTTCCACCTCTCACCCACCCCACTGCTAAACAAAGTTTCTGGCCAAGGGATTCCTCACTGCCTCCTGGGAAAGCACTGACAAATGGAAGAAGCAGAGTAAATGGCCAAATCCAGAAACACACACAGAGTCCCATCCTTTGCTCCACTTGTGGCACTTGATAAGTCGACAGGAGAGGACTAAATGGAGGAGTGGAACTACATAATGGCCTAGTGCTCTCCATCCTTTCCCTATCAAACCAGATGGCTTCAATTAATTATGTGCTGTCGAGTCAATTCCAGGTTAGGATGACCGTTGACAGAATGTACTTAGAAGTGGTTGATCAGTCCCTCCTTCTGATGGCACTATAGGACTATAGTCTGGCCAAGACCAGACAGGCTGACTCTTCTCCAAGAAGGTAAATATGAAGAATCAAACTCCCAAAACTGGCTCTGCAACCAGGTGCTCCAACATACTGAGTTATCTATCTGTTCAATCAGAACTACCTTTATGAGATTTACATACTGTCCCTTTACTGCAAGCACTACTCTGAGCTGTTTACAAATTAAAATTTAAAACCCCACCAGACCTCACATGACAATACAGTCAGAGATTCAGATCTAGGAGTCATAGAAAAAGAGAGAAAAAAGAACAAGGAAAAAATTAATATTAACAGCGTAAGACAACTTCCAAGGTAAGTGAAATATTTAAGGACTGATTTTCCAGCTCCCCTCTCATGATTTCCCATGGCCAATAGAAAATTATTTCTAATCAAATATCCAGTTCCAGCATATATATCACATATAGTACAGTATCTACAGTTGCAGAACTTTATTCTTGCATTTTCGTTTCACTTGGAATGAAGAACACAAGTATCTAAAGTCCATATTCAAAGACAAAGTGTTTTTTCCATCATTCTCCCAGCTTTCAATTTTCTATACAATGGTCCAAATCCTGTAGCACAGGTACACCTGCATACCTAAAAGTAGTGCAAGCAGCTGCAAAACTGACACCAAGACAGGTGTCTCAACCAGCAATCAGTTTCACAGCTGTAGCTGCACAACTAGTTGAAGAAGCAGGCATGTGCACTGTCTGGGCGTAAATTCCTGCTAAGTTCTTCAGGTATAACTTTATGCTACACCAAGTGCAATAGGATTTCAGCTTATGTTTTATTCAATTCCAAGAATACTGCATACACATCTAAAACTGCCCTTCCATCTCAAGAGTCAAAATCTGTATGTTCTAACACTTGTATGTTTCTCACAATGATACAGTTCCAGAATCAACTTCATGCACTTGCCACCACAATTTCTTCTACATTAAAAAACTTAAGAATTCCAATTCCTTCTACACAGGACAACTTTAGTGTGCAATATTTGCCAAGACCTGAACAGAAATAACATATTCATGTTGATTCTGCTGTACATTTTGGTGATGTTTGATACCACTGACCACGGTATCCTTCTAGAGTGCAGGTCTGAGGCAAGAATTGAGGCACTGCTTCACAGTAGTTCCTTCACTTTCTATGAAAGACTGAGGTCCATTCAATACTGAACTTTTAAACAGAAACAGGTTTATTGATTACAAGTTGTTTCAGGAATAATTCTTAAACACATTCTTAAAGTTACACCAAGCTTCAGTACTTTACTTTAATCTCTTCTATCTTAATTAATACAGGTCACACTCTGACTAATCACTCCTTAAACACTTTCTCTCTGCTTCACACTCAACTATCTCTCCCAAACTCTGTCTCTGACTGAACTAACTAGACTCTGACTCACCCCTCCCTTCTAGTTTCTCTGGCTCTGCCTCCCAACAGCTCTCATTGGTACACGCCAATAATCTTCTACCTGACCCAAAGCAGGGTGATTGCTACATACAGTATATACCATTGCTATCAGTAATGAGGTTCTCAGGAGGGGGGCACTATGTTAAGGAAACTGTAATCTAGAACCTGAAACATTCTGGGAGGGAGTTTCCTGCCTAGCAAAAGTGGACCTTAGCAAGACCCCATTTCCAGAAAGCAAATTATAAACACAGATAATTATATGGATGCACACATAATCACAGAATCTATAGAAGTGATACGTCCCAACTTTTTTTCATTGCAAGTGGAAAGGTAAAGCATATGTTCCAATTACAGTTGATTCAAATTTGGTTAGGTCACTAGAAGCCAATTGAGATCTGATCCTTGGGGGCTGGATGTCCCTAGACTAAACTCTGCCTGTCATAAACAAAGAAAAAGAAATAATTTTAAAAAGACCACTTAAGTACTCACTGTTATGTGATTGTAAATAAGCTGAGACCAGCCAAAGAGATCTGCTAATCTGTAGAAAGCTGCCAGTTTACATCTTAATAATTTTTCTCCTTTCTCATATGCAATGGAATCTGATCCCCTAAGATCATTCACAGGTGTCACCATGCCAAGGCCTGAGGAGAGAAGGAACACATTGAACACTGCAACTGAATTACCATATATTTTAATAACAAATTTATCTGAATGATGTGAATTCACCTACTCACTCACTCACTCTCATCCAAACTGAAAAGAAGCTAATCCTGTACTGCCAAGTCAAATTACACTATCAATTTTTTTTATTAGTAAAATCAATCTGTGCTTATTAAACACCGTGATACATAAATTCAGTTTATATTCATCTGTTAATACAGATTAAGGCCTAATCTCTACACCGTGTTTCTAATCATTGATACAACAAATTCCACGACTGAAAATATTTTGAATCTTCTTTCTCTTTGATTTTCAATGTAAGTCTGTCCATTTCCGCACAGTCCAAAATCTTCTTAATTATTTTTTCTCTGTTACACTATCAAATCTTAATCCTTTCACTTGATTCAAAATATCATATCCTTTAAACTTGGAACAACTTACTACCTTTGTAACTGAAATCTACATATATTGTCTCAAATTCTGTTTCCTAGAATATAGCAAAGAAGCACCATCCTGTCTGGTAAAACTACCTATAAACTTCTTCATTTTTTTTAATTTAACAGTTCACTTTCCAATCACTGATATTTGTACTGTTCCAAGCATGCTTTTGATGTTTCTGATGGTCATGTCATATCTTTAGTACTTCACCAAATATGCATCTCCTCCACCCTAAAACCACATATACACAGTGCCTAAAACCCTCTTGCTTAGTGTTGCTAACTGCACTAGAGTAGCCCACTGAACCAATCAGGATTTGATGAGTCTACTCCTTTGTAAGTTCCATTGATTCAAATGGACTGACTCTGACTCTAATTGCAATTTACTATGCTGCACTTACAGCAGGCTCATTTGAATCAATTGAATTCATGAAGAAATTCTAACATTTTTGAGTGTATGTGGGTGTACATTTATTCAGAGGCCCTGCCCTCTCCACCTGAAATTGGATAAACTTCATACTCAAAAAAGTTTTGCACCTGGCCTATTAACATCAATCTCAGAAATGAAACTATCAACCACTACTTCTTAAAAATATATATTTAAATCCTTTGCAAAAAAACAAATAAGGAAAATATAAGTAAAGCACATCTTACCACATTATTTCACAAGTTAAACTGCTCTGCCTGCACTTAAGATTGGACTACAGTATTTTTAGTTATAATCACATCACCCACAAACACTAACGACATCCAAAAAATTTACTAGAACTCACTCATGTTTAAGGCAGCCATTCCACCTTGAGGTGCTGCTGGGTAGACATTGGGGACATTTGCTGTCATGAAGTCTGCAATCTGTTGTAAAGCCAGTAAGCCTGTTGGGTTCTTCCCTTTCTTAAATTGTTCCTGGATCATTGATTCCAATTCTTCACAAAACGCCTAACAGAATATGTAACAAAATGAAATCTTACAGAACAGTCTGCCCAAACTTCCTTTCCATATCGCTTATCCTTTTTAAGGCATCCCTCCAACACTTCTGTACTGTATCAGTAAATTTACTGAGCCAGTTACTGAGGGGCGTAAAACATTTTTTAAAAAGTTGCTGAATAATACTAATAATAAATCATAACATAAACATATTACAACTGTTAAACCTTGTAGAAAAGGCAGTAAGGACAAGAGCTCATATCTCATATAAAAATACAATCTGTGCCTCCAAATGACCATTTAAAGGCAAATTAACATTGCTTATTAGTAATGCCACTTCAACATTAAGTGGAATAGGATCATCATCACTGTAGGGATTACGAGGATCTATGGATGTTCTGACTATTAAAAACACAGTGAATGGTGACTTGAGAAGACAGCCTTCTTAGCTATGGAATCTCATCTTCTGTGAGAGAGTTTCAAGCAGCACCTTAGTTCCAAGCACTCCCTCTGCAATCCCTACCCACTGGAACTCACTCATACTTAAGGCAGCCATTCAACTTTGCGGTGCTGCTGGGCAGACATTTGGAATGTTTGCTGTCACAAAGTCTGTTGTGTTCTTATCACCAACTGCAGACCTCTTCTCCAGAGTTTAAAATTAACATTAATCTTATCTGTTCCTTATTATGAGCTTTCTTATATTTTATTGCATAACCACATGCACACTGAGAAAACGTACAGTGAAAGATAGCACATATATTTAAAGAGAAAATAATAAATGAACTATATAGAAAACCATTTATAACACTGGCTTTTATGACACGAAATGGTATTTTCAGTTGCAAAACCAATGTAATGCACAATGGTGTCTTAACATAATTTAGGGCTCTTTACATAACGTGATTTTTTAATGCAAAGGCATCTTACATATAATAAAGCCATAAACACATTTCTATTTTTCTGTATATTTCTGTAGTGAGAATCTGCTGCCACATATGATTTTGTTTTGTATAAAAGAAGTATAATGTGCAACTTTCTACTTGAAATCAGAGAAATAATCCTGGCTAAAACAGCCTTGTGGTGCCGATTATCAAGCACCATAACTCAAAGAACAGTTATGATGGACAGGGTCTTCTCTGTTAATGGTCCCTTTCACGAGGTTCCCGGTCTGCAAGCCTCACCTGGCAGGAGGCGGGAGGACGAGCCTCCCTGCCAAGTCAAGGAGTGGCTCGCAGACCACAAGCTCCGGAGCAATAGGGAGCACGGAGCTCGCAGCAATAGCAGATGGTGAGTGGACAGCCTGGCTCCAGGGGCCTGCACCCTCATTATGTCCACTTGTGCGAATACGCTTATCACTAGTGATGTTGACTATTTACCACATAAATGTTTACATATCCCTTAATACCTTTTTGATTCTATCATATATGATGTTACTTCTTTGAATATATACTTTTAAAAATTACAGTGATGCCTCGCAAGACGAATGCTTCATGCAACAAAAAACTCGCAAGACGAAAGCGTTTTGTGATTCTTTTGGTGACTTTCAAGACAAATTTTTCTATGGCTGTGCTTCGCAAGACGGATAGGAAAACATTAATTAAATTTCAATGCATTCCTATGGGAAACGCTGCTTCGCAAGATGAAATTTTCACAATATGAAACGACTCGCAGAACAAATTATTTTCGTCTTACGAGGCATCACTGAAATTTAAAAGTCCTAAAAACTTTAAAATGAAATTTAAAAGTCCTAAAAACTGAGCATGGCAGAACAAATTACTTCCATTCCTTTTCTCAGCTGTTCACAATGGCATTTTTTTGTTATCAGGTGTAAGGCATATAAGCTCTGCTTTATCATAAATGAGGCAACAATATTATATAGCCTTACTGGACTTTGAAGAATCATGGAGACTCTCTTCTTCTGTTCCATCATGTTAAAATCCTGGCGAAGGTCAGGTGCCATGTTCCTCTCTCGCAAGTACTCTGGGTTATTTTCATCAACTCTATCAAAATATCTCTCTTTATGAGGGGCTGTTGGAAGTGGTGAAGTTACCACTTCTGTTCTAGATTCACCATTCATAGCACTATTTCAGTGGTTCTATGGAAATGAGGAAAAAAAACACATTAAAAACAATTCTCATCCACTACTATTGGTATTCATATCACTACCACCTCTTCTCAAGCAATCAAGTGGAAATGTTAAAGAACTGGTTGACAAATAGAACAGAATAGAAAATAAGAAGCGGACAGGACGCAAACACTTCAGAACTCTACCCAGTGAAGGATGCTTTCAAAGAGGCATTACACTTTTTAAAAAAGGAAACACAAAGTATACTAATATTGCTATTAAACTGACTGCGTACTTCTCATGTCAGATCCTGCACTCGAATTCATTTCAGCTCTTCACCTTCCCATTTTTTTCTTCATTTAGTCTCTATACTTTTCACTACTATCAAATCAGATAATTCATCATTCATATAAGCAGAAACTGTATGAGTAGGTTTCTAGAAGTAAATTGCAGATGTTGTGCCCCTAATTTAGTTAAAGCCCTGATGTGGATATAACAGCACTTTACCCTTTTCTCTCACTGCCACGGGTGTCTGTGCAGGCACAGAATGACATTCAATGTGTGATTCACAGAGATGATGATGAAGAACTATTTGCCCATGCTAAGAGTGTGGTTAGATTTAAGGTGCCTGTAAACATTTTTTAAAAATAATTCACAGGTTTACTAATTGTAAACAGTAACTCACCATGTTTTGCTATAAGTCATATTTTAATAATAGTCCTCACATCAGAGTATGTTGGTGTAAATTAGCAGAGTTTTGTCCCAGTCCAGTTGAATCACACAAAGACAGCTTTTTCCAGCGCCAAGTATACAGTATTTACAATACAGTGGTACCTCGCTAGATGACGACCCCACTGTACAACGAATCCGCAGGACGGTGACTTTTTGCGATTGCTATAGTGATTCGCAAAACAGTCATTCCTATGGGGATATTCCGCTGGACGTTGATTAGGTCCGTGCTTTGCAAACTGTTTGTTCACAAGACGACGATTTTTCTGGCTCTGCAAAATGGCGGCCCTGTGTTTTCCGGACCCATGCTTTGCAGGACAGCCATTTTAACAGCTGATCGGCACTCGAAAAATGGCTTCCCCTATGGGCAATCTTCACTAGACGATGAGGTAATTTTCCCATTGGAACGCATTAAACGAGTTTCGGTGCATTCCAATGGCGAAAGGCTTTTCGCATGACGATTTCGCTTAATTGTGATTTTTCTGGAACGGATTATCGTTGTTATGCGGGGCACCACTGTATTAGCAGTACAAACCAGCAGCATGACATTCATCAGAAGAGATCCTACATCTTCTCCGCACGTCCACAGTTATACACATGCAAATTTAGATACAGCCAATCAGTGAGGACACTGCATCACCCCAGACACTACTTCATTTAATATACTGCATGACTCAGCATTTTGCACACCTGTCAAATATGGCTGCTGATTATCATAGGCCTTTTTCTGCCTCAGTGTGGAAATTATCCTTGACAGAGTAGACTCCCTGCCCTTCAAAAACCTCCTGTATATTAGTTCACTCTATCTTAGACATAGCTCACTGGATAGCTCAGTAAGTTAGGCAGAGGTTGAGAGTTTGATTCCCCACTGTGCAACCCACAAGAGCCAGTCTGTGTAGCCTTGGGAAAGCTGCACAGTTCCAGGATGCCCCCAGAACAAGGGAATGGTAAACCATTTCTGAGTGCTCTCAGAAAACCCTGAAAAGAGTTGCCATATGTTGGAATTTACTTGATGGCACACAATTATCTTAGACACAGTGCTCACTCAGTGCTCTGACCTTCCTAATAACAAATAACTTTGTGGCAGGAACTCAGAAGGACTCATCTACACAGCCATTTTTTTATCATCCCCTCCTTTCTCATTTCCTTTGCTTCTCAGTCCTCCTACTCCCAAGACATCTGTTTGTTCTGTCCTGAAAATCCAGCACCCACCTTGATCTATTTCTTCAGGCAACATTCCATTCAGCTCAAAAGATTTAGATTCTCCACAACTGGACTTTCTGTCCATTCAGCTTTATTTCCATGCTTGCATAATCTTTCCTCAAATTACTGTTTCAATTTACCCAGAGTTATCAACTACTGCGATTTTATTTGCTGAAAGCAAAAAATGGTTGCAAGCTGTTTTATTTTCTGAAAGCAAGCAAATGGTTGCAATGGCTGAAACAGGCCTATTGAATCAGTGGGAATTTGGTGAGACTGTGCCTCCATAAGGTCCATTGATTTAAATGGGCCTATTCTAGTTGCAACTTACTAAGCTAAAGCAAATCACAACTAGAGGAGCTCCATTTTAATCAGTGGACCTCATGGAGGAGTTCACTCACCAAATTCTCACTGATTCAATAGGCATACTCTAGCGTGACTTACTATGTTAAGCAACAGAATTTCAGCCACTGAAGTCCAATCCAAAGCATGACTAATCAACAGTGATAGAATGAGGTGTATTTGAATTGAACACTGAAACTCCCAAATAACACAGAACATAGATACAATAGTGCTAATTAAACTTAATTAATATCACCATAAAACAATACGTAAAAATGTAAAGCTGCCTTTAAACAGTTTATTTTTAAATATTTGTGAGAATGATAAAAAGAAACACAACTGTGTGTGCTCCTGTTGAGTGTGTCTAGTTCAAAATATATAAAAAGCTCTGCTGGATGAGACCAAAGCCTATCTAGTATAGAATTCCCTTTTCACAGTGGCCAGCCAGGTGGAAATTGAAAGGTGAGCATGAATGGAAACACGGCACAACAGCCTCTTTTTTATGATCCCTAGACTTTACTGTCATAACTGATTGTCTCTGATAGCCTTTAACTAATCTCCATACAGATGGTAACACAAAAATATTTACATCAGGGGTCTCAAACATGCGGCCCGGGGGCCATTTGCGGCCCGCCAGATGATAGTTTGTGGCCCCTGCCTTGCCTGCCCCCCGAAGTGCCCGCGCGTCCTCTGCTGTCAAGAGTAAAAAAAAAAAGCCTCACCTCACTTGCCAGCTCTATTCCAAGACAGTGCCTCTTGCACCCTCCATCCAGAACTGCAGCCTGCCAGCTGGCAGACA